ACAACATGATTACACTCAACTCACCTGTAACGAGATCAATAATTACAGGTGACACACCTGCAATTCACCTGTAAGTGAAAGACAAACAGGGGAACGACGGATGAACTATCCCCTCAATGAAGTGAAACAGGATTCACAACATGATTACACTCAACTCACCTGTAACGAGATCAATAATTACAGGTGACACACCTGCAATTCACCTGTAAGTGAAAGACAAATAGGGGAACGACGGATGAACTATCCCCTCAATGAAGTGAAACAGGATTCACAACATGATTACACTCAACTCGCCTGTAACGAGATCAAGGATTACAGGTGAAACACCTGGGATTTACCTGTTATCGGGAGACGAGGAGGGGAACGACGACGCGGGAGGAAGTGTCCCCTCGAGGAAGAGAGACAGGATGCGCAATGTGATTACACTCAACTCACTTGTAACACGAGCACACAATGGGTCTTTCAACCGGTATACCTGAGATTTGGTGACGTAATCTGCCTGATGATTATATCGATAATATCTCAACTATTATTGCCCTCTTCTTTATATGCTGTAGTGATGAAAAGACCGGGGTGACAGGGAGATCAAGGTGCCAAGAATACCAAGGTGACAAGGACACCAAGGTGACAAGAAGACCAAGGTGACAAGGACACCGGAGCGATGACGTCATCGTCAGCGGCAGAGACTGAGGTGATGACATCATCGTCGCCGGGGTCGGGGTCGGGGTCGGCGCCTCACCTCGGTCGTACTTGCCCGCGGCGCCGCACACGGCCCGCACCTCGTCGTCGTCCCAGCCGGCCGGAAACACGACGCAGCCAATCAGCATGCAGATCGCTGCAATCAAAAACACACCGGATGAGCGTCGATCGCGATCGCGGCCAAGAACTCGCCGCGATTCCCGGAACATCTCGCTGCTGCGCGTTGTTCCGCAACTCTGACTCTGAGGTTCGGAGCGAGAAAAAATGCTCGCGCAGCAGACGAACACACGGTAATGTCACCTGACCTCGAGAACCAATCGTATTTCGCGAGGAGCGCGCGCCGACTCTGAGGTAATTCGCCGAAGGCTGCTGACACTCGGGAGTAGAAGAGTGAAGAGTAGTAGCTACACATAGTGTCAGGAGTGAATCAAAATACGAGTTTGTTTTCAAAGTTTTGGGTTCATTCACTCCTGATAACATATACGTTGGTTATATATGTAGACGAATATGTTGGTAGGTTTGCCCGTCATTCGGACGTATAATCCAGTGCGAGGACACCTAGTGAGACATGCGTGTGCGTGCGTTCACTCACCTGAGAGCAGCTGGAACCAGAAGCAGACCATGTAGACGGTGGAGGCGGTGAGAAAGAAGAAGAGCAGCATGAGGCATATAGTAAGCAGCACCAGCAGCGCTGACACGCCGACGAACACTGTCGCCACCTGCGGGAGGAAATCACAACTAAGTGAGATCGGTGCTACGCATGCGGGGCGCTCGGGCGTGTATCTCCTTAAAGTTGGAGTGAATAGCACTTAGATAAAATCGTAAAGCAAGTTTCCATAATATATGGACTGTGCCGGTTGATGGAAATGTTGGTGTCCAAATTCATCCGCGCACCTGTGCAAATCAGCAATCAGCGACTCGTTCATTAGCGGCACAGGTAGCACCATACGTCGGTCAGTGTAGGATCACAGCTAAGCTTAGGGTGAAAATAAGTGTTAAGTTTAGAGGATAAGGGTTGAGTTAAGGACAGGATGTCATGAGCATTTGATTTAAGGGTAAGGCCATGTTAGGGTTACGGGGTAATGGTAAGGTCAGGGTGAGAGTTCAAATCTATCACCACAAGGTTAGGCTTAGGGTTAGAAGACAGATCAGAGATCACCTAACTGTTATTTGCTTCCCCAACTCCTCACCCTCCATCACCACCATCACCCCCATCACCACCAACTCCTCACCACCATCACCACCAACTCCTCACCACCATCACCTCACCACATCCTCACCACCATCACCACCAACTCCTCACCACCATCACCACCAACTCCTCACCACCATC